GTCCATCATAAAAGTGCATCTATCCATCATAAAAGTGCATCTATCCATCATAAAAGTGCATAAAAGTGCATCTGTCCATCATAAAAGTGCATCTGTCCATCATAAAAGTGCATCTATCCATCATAAAAGTGCATCTATCCATCATAAAAGTGCATCTGTCCATCATAAAAGTGCATCTGTCCATCATAAAAGTGCATCTGTCCATTATAAAAGTGCATCTGTCCATGATAAAAGTGCATCTGTCCATCATAAAAGTGCATCTGTCCATCATAAAAGTGCATCTATCCATCATAAAAGTGCATCTATCCATCATAAAAGTGCATAAAAGTGCATCTGTCCATCATAAAAGTGCATCTGTCCATCATAAAAGTGCATCTATCCATCATAAAAGTGCATCTGTCCATCATAAAAGTGCATCTGTCCATCATAAAAGTGCATCCATCCATCATAAAAGTGCATCTGTCCATCATAAAAGTGCATCCACACGCTCCGGGGGGTTAATAAAGGTCTTCTGAAGCGATGCGTTTGTGTAAGAAGCATATCCATATTTAAAACTTTATAAAGTAAAATAACTAGCTTCCGGACAAACGAACATACAGTAAATTTGCATTTAGCAGTTGATCATGTGATGCACTGAACGTTCTAATTACACTGATGTGATCCAAAGGTTTAATCTAATATATGTAGCAGGGCATTCAGTTACTTTTAAAAGGACAAACAGAATTGCTGGCTATAAAAATCTTTAATTTCCTCACGTTTTACCCCTGATTTTATGTGAGAGTCGGCATGAGCCACTGACAGATGACAGTTGCTCGCCCCCACGGTTGACAGTTGACGTCCACGCCCATTTAAGTTGCATTTTTCTAAAAGATTGTGAGGTAGACTTAAGCTGAAAGAGGGGGGGTTTCATTAATATGGTTCATGACCCTTAAAGGAGAACTCCGGTGATGCCAATTTTAACATTGAGCTCATTTTTTTGTAAATTTGGAGTGCTGTCAGTACAGATAACAACGACAAAAACCGGTGTTGCCTACACCGTGTTATCCTCTTTTTAAAATGTGCACCCTGTTGACTTAAATGGGGCAAGTTTTAAACCTGCTTTTAGCCTCTTAACATCCTTGATGTGTCATTACAAGTGCACAGCCATGTGAGTGAACACGGTGAATCTGACTCCAGTAAATGAGAAAGATATGAATAAAAGTAGTTTATTCAGCCAGCTCACATACCTGTATTTACTTCCTGGTTTCGGTCGAAGTCCACAGTAGTTGATTGTCGAGTTTGCGCAAAGCAACAGTGGAGAACTCGACAATCAACTACTGTATGACAATAATACAGCTATGTAAAATGAGCATAATGTTAAAATTGACCGGAGTTCTCCTTTAAACACATGGCTAAGCTTGAGTTAACGCAGTCACTTGATCCTTTTTCTCCCACACTCCAGATATGTTCAGCTAAATTATGAAGGTCGTGTAATCGAATCATTTAATTTAGTGTGTGAATGTTTCTTCATCAGAGTCAGTGGAGGAGATCAAACTCATCAGATTCTCCTGCATCTTCATCATGGCTGATTCACAAGCATCCAGAGATGGAGATTCTCCACCAGGACGCAGGTACTTTCAACAAACACTGTTAAATATTGTATTACATCACAGAAAAAGAGCATAGTTTTTGCAACTCGTGTGAAAAATATACAAACAGGAGAGCCACAAAACGGGCACTTCCAGCATGTCAAGACATATTTGTGTTGTTAATCGTAATCATAATGGTAAACATAATCGCCTGTTGTTGCCAGTTTACAGGGCGATGTTTCCAAGCACTTTCAGGCTGAAATAAAGGCTGTTTTCATTTACATTACAATGCCTAATATGTCTATTTAACGGTTGCGGGTGCGGGGCGGGTTGTAAAAATAGATACGGTGCTGCGGTGCGGGCTGGGGCGGGCCAAATAATTTCATAAAAGCGGGACCCGCGGGTTGGAAAAAAGCCGACCCGGGCATCACTAGTCTGCGGCATATAAGCATAATAAAAACAGCAATGTAAAATGTCCTGCAGCTCTTGGCCTGCCTGCTTCATACCACAGTAACGTTAATAAAACTTTAATACATTACCTCATCCATGAACATGATTCCTTTCCATCAGCTGTGCAGTTGAAAACAACAACTCTCATGATTCCACACTCATTCATCACATAATCAAGCTCAACTTTTTTTGAATAAGTGACCTCTAGCGGTGAAACTTACATACTGTGCCTTTAATACTAACATGAAATATTAAATAAAAAGTTTCTCCAATGTGCTCTTTGATGAAAGATGAATGTTTATATTAATATGGTTCCTATTATAAAGAATGAACACAGTAATCTAAAGGATTAAACTGAACCTGTTCTCTGTTCCAGTTCAGTCCAGCAGAAGAGCTCAAACCCAGAGTGTGTCTATGAAGAGTGACCGCTCTATGGATGACCTGCCAGAGTTTAAGAGTGGAGACACACAGCCTGATCTCAGGTACTCAGAATAACATTTCTATAAAAGATGTGCTTATAGTATTAGATTTTTGTATTAGAATATAGGAAAAGTTAAGCTCAAAGGGTTCAAATTCATTTGGGAATATTTATCAAATCAAGGAACCTTGACAATATCAGATAATTAATCAATGTGTTCGTCTACCGATTCTCTCATACAAATATCTGTCAGTTCTATTAAAGTATCACTGTTTTGTCCATAAACAGTAACAATTTAATATTGATCAGATTGATATGTTGGACACATTTGTTGGAATCTGACCGATCCAGGGACCTCCATTTATGAACATAAAACCAACAAACATCATCATGTGAATGCAAACAAAACTACTCTACAACACACTAACACTAAAAGAAAATACAACACATTAGTCTTTGGGTCTTTAATGAAAGGTGAGCAGCGATGGGGTCACGTAGTGGGTCACTCTGATTGGCACTCATTGAGAGTCTCACAGCCAAGTCAAGTCATCTTCATTTATATAGCGCTTTTAACAATGGAGATTGTTTCAAAGCAGCTTTACAGAGATAAACATACAATTTACGGTAACAGAGATTGTTTTGGCTTTATAGCGATTTTGAATAATGTTATTTCCGCCTAAAGTTGGTTTTGATTGATTCACTTCCAGCAAAATTATCATTTGTTATTACATTAGGGGCCGCTAACAGTGCGTTCACACCGGACGCGAATAGCACGTCAAATTCGCGTCTACCGCGTCTGGTTTGACGCTTGACCACTTTGTGTTAATTCGCATGTCAATGGCGAAATTGACGCGCATAAAAACAAAAGTTTGAAGCGAAATTTACGCGCGTCAGAGGCGAAACCCGTTGGCGGCCATCTTTTTAGATGTTTATCGAGCATTAGCGTTAGCATTATTCGAGAGAGTCACTGCTCGTATATGCTCTGGAGAGCAGAAAGAGCTGCGTATGGGACATCGTTGCTGTACTCGTGTCCACCAGACCCTCCGGAGGGTTTCAGGAGTTTCACAATTTGCCAGGAGCTAGCTTTGGTGGACCTAACGGTGAGGACGCTGACGAGGACAGCGTAGGCCGTATAAGCCCTCGGCCTCGAGTGGTCTATGCCTGTCGAGCCCGCGCTCTACAGCCCGGCGCGAGGTTCACCCTCATCCGCATCCACCTAATCTGTCATTTATTTTTGTTTTGATAATAAATGGAGCCTCCAAAAGTGAAACCTGTCCTGTGATTTTTTAAAAAGTTTTTATACAAGCACTAAATTGTGTTTGTTGTCTTTACATTAGAATAATAATGTTTCATATAATCTAGAATAGATATGGAATAAATAGCATTCAATACAAAATGAGTATCTCTATATTGAAATCGAGTTTTTATGTGAAAGATTTGCTTTGCACACCAAGCATTTTTGTCATATTACAAAATAATTTATTGAGGCCAAACATAAAATAACATTATAAACTGTCACTTCACCACGTGACAGCAGCAAGCAGGCTCCTGATTGGTTAACGCGGCGCGAATTGACGCAGAAGTTCAGATTTTTCAACTCGGGCGGCAGACGCGAATTCGCGTCAAACGCGAGAATGCACAAAAAGCACTACATAAAACATTCGCGCTTAACGCGCCAGACGCTCAATTCGCACCATTCGCGCGAACTTGACGCGCGAATGAGGCATATTCGCGTCTACCGCGCCGCGCTCTACGCCTCATTCGCGCCGCAGGAATTTTTTACGCGCGTAACGCGTCTTTGCAGTGACTTAACATTGAAATCACTCGCGCCTGACGCGCTATTCGCGTCCGGTGTGAACGCACCATAAGACGACGGCGTTCTCTCTAAACAGACTTTAAACGTGAACCTGTGACCGGATGGCGTTCACATGCGCATTAAAAATTGATTCTATAGTTAAATTCGTTTGAATATGTGTGCGCAGGTTTGTAATTTTCCTACAAACCATGCCTAAACAAACTACTTGTCTTGCCTATAAATTTGATACAGGATTTTATTTTATCACTTCGAGGTACGCGAACCGGATTTTCAACAACGCTTTATCTGTAGAGTGGGAAAGGGATCCTCCATAGGGACAGGATAGTTGACACTTCAGCACTGGATTGTCATCGGGTCCAGGCGAATCTCCTTCGTCAGATCTGGATACGGCCTGGATCCGGCAGGCTGCAGGAAAATCTCGGGATAAACAAAGACACTAAAGTTAGCGTAGATGCCATTCTTCTTATGATGTAACGAGTACATCTGGATTTAAGGGAAGTGTTCCCAGCCAATCCTGACACTACAATTTTAGGTGACAAAGTGGTTCTTTGTCTTCAGGACTGGCCTCATTTGCATATCATAAATTGTGGGTCATCCTTTATAGCGCTAATACTGTTCTGCTTACTATAATACACTACATTTCAACATTCAAGAAATAGGGATGCACGATATTGGATTTTGGCCGATATTCGATATGCCGATATTTTCAAACTAATTTTGCCCGATGCCGATATATTTGTACCGATATATAAAGCTTCTATTAAAGTTCTCAGTCAAGAGCAGTGAGTGATTTCCTCTGTGTTTTGTTGTTTTATTAACATTAAAGGGATAGTTCTCCCAAAAATTTTAATTGTCATAATTTACTCTCTCAAGTTTCTTTCTTCTGTTGAAAATAAAAGTTATTTGGAAGAATGTGGCTAACCAAACAGTTGCTGTACTCCAGTGACTTCCATAGTATATTTAAGCACAAGAAAGAAATGAATACAGGTTTGGAACAACATTAGAGTGAGCAAATAATGACAGAATCTTTATTTCTGGGTGCAGTATCTCTTTAAGGACAAGCGGCAGCATATTATTACTGTCTCTTTAAGAACTGCACGCGACGCGTCTAATATACACGCATTTGACAAGCAGATTTTCTCTGTTTGCTTTCACTTTAGACATATCCAACTTTGTTTATGTAAACCTTGTGTGTATTTGACAGTATCAGCGCAATAAGACGCTTTTCGACCCCTTTTTTTTTGGCCAGGTCGCCATTGTAAACGAGAAAGTGTTCTCAATGTGCTCACCTGGTTAAATAAAGGTTTTATTATTATTATTATAAGACTGGAAAGATTAGTCCAGTATGCAGGCGCTGTGACAGGCTTTTAGTTCCTGTGAGCGTCGGGTGTAACGCGCTCAGAAAAGCGGATGTTAGAACAGCGCATCAGCACGTGAATGACATGTTTAACTGGCAAGACTTTGACGCACATGCAAATAATGAACTTTTGTGAATTGCAGTGTCCCGTGAGTGTAACTCTACCTCTGCGTTTACATGTGATGTGATGTGATGTGAATGTGCGTCGCGTTGTACAGTATGTTGAGATGAAGGCGCCAGAATTGAACTGATAGAATGCACGATACTAGGATTTTTCTTCAAAAGCAGATCGTGGAGACATTTTAATCGTCCACGATCAAAAACCGTGAGACGCACACCCCTAGTTGGAAGTTTAAGTTGCTGGCGCTCATGCTTCATTCACGGTCGTCACGTGCGCATAGGAGACACGCCACCCTATCGGCAAGGCTCATCGGCAGAAATATTCATATCGGCCGATGCCGATGATGGTCCTTTTAAGCTTTTATCGGCCGATACCGATGTTGTCCCGATATCATCGTTCATCCCTATCAAGAAATTAAAACACGATTACTTTGGTACCAAACATGGACTACTTGATATACAGATTGTTCAACTAAATTTACAGGAAAGAACAAAAAAGAAACATGAATCAAACCCAAGCACATTATCAAAGTTATACCCAGACATTTCATAGATTACAACAAGGGAACATTACATGCACGGATGTCAGGGTTCTGTCACGGTCTGGTTTCTTCTTAAAGGGATAGTTCACCCAAAAATGAAAACTCTGTCAGTAATTACTCTCCCTCATGTTGTTCAACCCCGTAAGACTTTCGTTCATCTTCGGGGCACAAATTAAGATATTTGTGATTAAATCTGAGAGCTGGATCACTCCTCCATAGGCTTCTTAAGGGATCGAAACTGGCAGGCCCAAAAGTTATTAAAGACATTGTTAAAATAGTCCAGGTGACTATTTGTGACCAAGTGACCCTTTAAATGGTTAGTTCACCCAAAAATTATGTCTTTCCAAACCCGTAAGTCCATAACACAAATTAAGATATTTTTTATGAAATCCGAAAGCTTTCTGATCATCCATTGGCGGTCTACGCAACTAAAACTTTCAAGGTTGTAAAGACATCGTTAAAATACTCCATGTGACTGCAGTGGTTCAACCTTAATGTTATGAAGCGATGAGAATACTTTTTGTGAGCAAAAAATAAATAAAAATAACAACTTTTATCAACAATTTCTTCTCTTCTGTAGCTGTGTCCCGATGTGAAGGCTGCGTCCTCCGAAAGCCGCATTTGAAGGCCGAATGCGTCACAGCGGCGCGACGAAGGATGTCCCAATTCAAAGGCTGCATCTTCGAAGGCCGCATTTGAAGGACGATTGCGTCACCGCAGCGCGGTGAAGGCTGTCCCAATTCAATTCCGCATCCTTCGAAGGCCGTATTCGAAGGCCGGTTGCGTCATCGCGGGGGGACAAAGGCTACCCTGATTAAAAAGCGACGCCAAATGCACCCTTCGTTTCCCCGTGAAAGGAAGGATGCATAAATGGACGCTTTGCGGTCTATCCTACCCGATCCTACCCCATAAGTCATTGCGCGCCGGTTACTTGCGCGCCAAGACTATCAAACTTTTTTCTACAGATACATTATTTGAAATATTTAATAATATAAGGTTCGTGTACTTTTTGCGTCCATTCGTTTTTCTTTTTTTAACCCATAATTGAAAAACGAAAAATGAACGGTTGTTGTGTTTTTAAAACGCAAAGTTGAACACCAAAATTTTAATTTGAACTGTATAGGCTACACACCAAATCCTGCGCAAAAAATTGTTTATGACTTTTTGCCCCTTTATTAAACATTTAAAATATTCAGAAATTAATAGGAAAAAAAAATCGATTTTACTGG